TTCCCCGCACCTCTGAGGCTTTGCTCTGGCAAAGCCTCAGAAGCGCGGGAACCCGCCCGGTGCCCCTGGTCTGCTGGAGAAGGTCTCCAGCAGACCAGGGGCACCGGAGCAGCTTACGAACGGGGCTTTCTCGCCCCGACTTCCGGGGCGAGAAAGCTCCGTTCGTAAGTGCGGATCCGACATAAGTCGGATCCGCGTAAGTCGGGGACTGCCTGTACTGAAACATCACGATATGAATATATGCATATTGTGTGGATACGAGAGGGCTCTAAAAATTCCAGAGTTCATTCGGTATGGCTGCGGTTGAATCATATGTATGTTTTCCATTCTTTGCTTCTCCAAACAATATAAATCATTACTTGGCTTCTTGTCCTAATTACATGAACTTCTATTTATCTGAATGTATCTTAAATGTTTCAGATTAATGAAACTGCACTGTAGTTTTACCTTCATGTTGAACTATAATAAAACACCCGTTAATGTTTGGGCTGTCAGGTAGTCATTTGTCCATTCTAACTAGTAGTGAGCCCAAGTAACTACGTACTATTAACTAATTAGATATTGTTACTTCTTAATATAAAATTCCAAATAGCTAAAATGCACACACTTGGGCTGTGGAAATTTAGGCCCTCATCCTCCAAACACTTATAAATTATGTTTATTGATATGAGTAATCTTACTGAGTTTGGAATAATCCTGGACCCATTGAAATCAGAGGAGTTTTGTTATTCACTTTAGTATGTCTAGGATTTCACCTCATATGTTTACTTATATAAATAAAGGAGCTTCAGAGGGTAGCCGAGTTATAAAGTTACTCGTGTGAAAGTCTTTAGAGACTGAAGGCTTCTCTTTGTGTTGCAAAATTGCATTCTAGTTATAACTGTATATCATTTGAAACGTCTGTGCTTCACTATCTGTCAGATAAAATTTCTTATCTAATTACTACTTTTCTTGTTTCTTCTTTTAAATAAACTTAATTTTAGCTTTAAAGGATTAGCCTTGGATCTGGAAGATGGAAACTTTCTTAAGCTTGCTGGAGATGGAACAATTATGAGGTAATATTCTTTAATTTTTACATCTAGAAAAATTGCATAATTTAAAGCCTGCATCTGATGATTGGAACAGCTATAAATATTTATAACAGTAGTCACTATATGTATTTATTTATTACTAAGTGCAATATGTATAACTCTGTGCGCAATCTGCTTTAAAGGTACATATGTAACTTTTTGGTGATCGGTCTTTTATAAATAATGGCACAATAAAAGTCACTTTTAGTTGCTAGTTTGAAACATTTCTCTCTCTCTCTCTCTCTCTCTCTCTCTCTCTTTTTTTAAATAACTGCTTAATGTTTTGATATTGTACTCCTTTGTGATTTCCAAGCTATGTTAGTGGATGCTGTCAGAGGAAATTGGTGTGCTACAGCTTGGACCTCCCTGGTCCGGCAGCCTGGGGACCTGAGGTGTCCCAAACTAGGGAGTTTGCCGGACCAGGGGAGGTCAGTGCTCCTCTATTGGCACCTCACTCCCGAGTTCCTCTCCCTAGAACTCCCAAGGCTACAGCTCCCACCCTGCTGCCCATACTGCCACCAGAATTCCCCGTCTGGTCGCTGATAGCCCTGCTGTCTCTGGGGGTTCCCCAGGGCTCTCCTGCCATGGCCGTCTGCCTGCCACCCACCCAGATCACTGCCAGCCCCACTGCTGATGAATGTTTGTTCCCTGGGGGAGCCCGGCCAAGGCTCCCCTGCCTAGCCCCGCTCTCACCAGAGATTTCCTTGCTGGGACCATCCGGCCACCACAGTCCCACTGCTATTGGGGATTCCAAGTAGTTCCCCGGCCAGGACTAGTCACCTGACCCCCCTCCCTTTGGCACTTCCCTGAGGTTCCCTGCCAGCCTCATTGCTGGGGCCAGTCCTACTCCTGCTGGGGATTCCCTGGCCTGGGATCACGCAGCTGCTGCCTTGACCCACTGCCACTGAGGGGGTTCCCTGGCTAGGACAGGGGCTCCCCGTTCACTGCCTGGCACTGTTGATATTGGGAGTTCCCTTGCTAGGGTGGGGCTTCCCACCCACCAAGCCTTGCTGACGCAGGGGTTCCCTAGCCTGTCTGGGGCTCTGCAGCCGCTGCCTGGTCCAGCCACTGCTGGGCCAGCCAGGGCTCCCCAGTCCTGCATTCTGCCGGCTCTCAATCCTGGCCTCCCAGTCTCTTTGGTCCAGCATCATCCATGGCCCTACAGGATCATGTATGTTGCCAGACCAGAGATTCCCAGATTTGGAGGTTCAACCTGTACTGTTTTTTCCATAGAGGACTCTTGGAGTGAGTATAGTTACTGAAACTACTTTTGCTTGTTTACCTGATATGTCAAGCTATCGTATTCATAGGCCTTGATCCTGTATTTACCTTTATGTGGTGGAAATATTGTCATTTACTTCAAGAAGACTAATCACAGTGTACCAAGTTAAATGCATGCTTATGTCTTCGCAGCACTGAGGCCAAACCAGTAGCATTAGATAGCTGGTGGACAAAATCATTTCTCATTAGCTATAAAAGATATAGGAAAACTTGTACTTTGAGGTGGTAAAAATAAAGTGTGGGAAAACTCTACTCTTTTCCAAAGACAACATTCTGAAATTTGCAAATTTTCTGCCTCTTCTACTTACAATTTGTGTAAATGCTGATAATACAAAAAATAAAACCCAACTTTAATTGCAAATTTAAAAAGTGGAATGAATATCCACCAACAAAGTGTCTTATGAAAAAGTAATAGAGATGTAGCCATAGTCTCCTATAGACAACCACCTAACCTCAGGATGATTCTTACCAACAACCACAGGACATACCACACTAATACCAAACCTGGAACTTTCCCTTAAAACAAACCCCGATGCCAGCTTTGTCCACATATTTACTCTGCTGACACCGTCATTGGACCTAACTATGTTAGTAACAAGATCAAGAACACATATTCCTGTTCATCCAGAAATATAATTTATGCCATCATATACCAACAGTGTCCGTCTGCTATGTATATTGGACAAACTTCTCAGACACTTAGCCAAAGAATCAAAGCACACAAAACAGACATCAGACAGTTTCACAAAGAAAAAACAGTTTCTTGCCATTTCAACCAGACAGGGCATTGTCTCAATGACCTGACCACATGCATCTTGCTTCAAAGTGACTTTAACACAAGACTACAAAGGGAAGCCTCAGAACTGTCATTCATGCTTAAATTTGACACTTTACGAATGGGAATGGGCCTTAACAAAGATGCTAATTATCTTACCCATTACAAAGATAACTTCCCCAATTATTACCCCAAATATCATTATCTCATAGATGCTAACCTTCCCCCCACCCCCTCTCTGTTCTAAAATCTGATTTGTCAATTTTATATGTGTTCACTTTTTTTTTAATTGTATCCCTTTGGTATATATAGTCATGCCCAGGGCTCGCCAAACCATGGAGAGCCCCACTTGCCAGCTGCGCTGTCCAGCGATCTGCGCATGCGCAGATTGTTCTGCACATGCGCAGATCACCCAAACCCGGCTCTTCCGGGTTGTAACCTACTCGCCACGGGCGAGTAGATTGCATTATTTGTCAAGCCCTGGTCATGCCAATTTTCTTCCACAATTTGTTCTGAGGAAGTGGGTCTGGCCCATGAAAGCTCATCACCTAATAAACCATCTTGTTAGTCTTTAAAGTGCTGCATAGTCCTGTCTTATGAAAAAGTTCTAATCGCGACAAACCTCTTACATACAACTGGTAGTAATTAGAAGCTGACTGTGCAAGAAGCAATACTCCTGCAAATAACTTTGTGTGGCTATATTAACCTTCCTGCACTGAGCTCATCACTGGATTAGAGTCCACAATGGCAAATCATACGGTGTTATCTCGAAAAAAATGCTGGCATGCTGCAGAAAAAAGAAATTACATGCTTTCCCTCAGATATGTTAATTGGACGCAGAACATGGATTCTTGGCACTCCTGAAAATAATATAATTGGAACTATTTTAGAAGATATCCATATATGTTTGAAATTAATATAAAATGTGTTTTGACTTTTTTACTTTATTTTTTGACTCAAAGACTTTTGACCAATAGCCTACAGGAGTGCTCAATTCCGTTAAGAATGTTTACAAGAAACAAGACTAATAGATGGGATCTCAGTTAAGAGGGACATATACTTGTTGCAAAAGATATATTTTTTCCCAGTTCATATTCCTTTTAATCAGAGCAGAGGAGGATCATTTGTATCATTAAAGAAAACATCCTTAGATGAAAGGGTAGATTTGGTGATCTTATTTTCAGCAAGGCACTATGAATTTACCAGAGAACTTCTGTATCTTCTGTGTCATGAGAGAATCAAGCCCAGCATTTGAGAGAAAGATCTCTCCCTTTCCCCCAAGAACAAATTACTGAATGGAGAGGAAATGGGAGCAGCATCAATCACATAGACTAGACCAGAATTTGATTATTTATCACAAAATTCTGTGCACTATAGGAAATTTGAATGATTGTAAATAATTGTAATCTTTGTCACACAATGCATCAATTAGGGCAAGCCATGGTACAAAAAGTATGACTCATGAAGAGATCTTGGAAATATATGGCAGGAGGGAATGGAAGCACTTTAAAACATTCAGTGGAATGGTCTCCCGCTCAGGTAAATATAGATAATTTCTTTATTTTAAACTTCATGAACTTGGCTACTGCAATACTTGCTGCTGTTAGGCAGTTTTTCCCGTAAACACTTAACATATTTTTTAATTAGGAAAATGTAGGGAGCTGGTTGTCTTGGGGATTGCTAAAGGCATATGTAGATTATCACCTAATTCTCAGCTTCATACTGAGCTCTTGTTAGCAATGACAGGTTGTTAAGATTGATTGCTTTTTGCCCCCATGTGAAACAAGTTGGTGGTCTTAGTCTAGTTTTGCTTGTAAAATTTTCCTTTGGGATAGGTTTGATTTCCTTGGGAAATTACACTGAGGCTACCATCTTGCATTATTTTGGGCAAAGTGTCTGCAGATCTTTACAACTTCCGCACATTGCCATCTCACTGCTCTGGACTGTCTGTTATTGACAGCCTCTAAGTATAGATGTAGAGAACTGAATGGGCTTGGAGACTGATCTATTCTCTCCCCTGTGGGGAGCGCTTTTCCTCCATTTCAGGAGGGAAATTTGCATTCCTAGCCTGTACCTGTTCTGTCAATAAATGAGGGACTTCAGTTTTTACAGTTTATAATATATACAGAGGTTTGATGTTCAGATGCTCAAATAAACTTGGCCTCCTTAGGAACAAAGTATATAAGGATTTAAAAATGCTTAGGTCAATACCATATAAGAATTTTCAGGATGAAGTCTGTTATTACATCCATAGCTTTGCTCTTGGACAGTTCCATTGAAGTATACAGATAGCTACCCATGTTGGGTAGGTAGTTGTATATCTTATAAGTCTACAGGAGTGGAATCCTGGGGTAAGATCCTGATCTGTTCTTCTATAAGGCACAGCAGGGAACTCTCAGCCCCCGGAATGCGGTGTTGGTGTCTTCATAACACTTTTACACCTTTCATATCCTGGGCTGCTCTGGAGAAGCCCCCAATATGCTTAGTCCCAGATGCCTGTCCATGTTACAGCAGGCTGAGCTATGAGCCACAGTGCTGCCTGGAATCTACAAAGCACTGTGGTCTGCAGCCTTGCTGCTAAGATACCTCTACATTAAGACTTGTGAGGATGTTCACAAAAGGCAGCCTTGTGACTGTCTTTCTTAGTTCTGCAATATTTTGTATTGGCAATAAAATGATAGCCAGAAAAAGAGAGTCTCACGTGTAACATTTGCCAGTGGCCAATATTTATTCCCAGTAAAAACACAATGAGAATTTTAAAATTAACCATTTAAACACAGGCTTTCCCCCCAATTAAAATATACAGCATAGTTTACAAACAAATGTTTCTTTCTTTTTTTATAGCTAAATATTATTGCTTTGATAATTATTTTGACCTGCCAGGAGCCCTTCTTTGTGCCAGAATTGTGGATTGTTTAGACCAGGTAAGAATTATATAATTTCAAGCCCATTAATAGAAAAGAAAATATTGCAATTTTTAATTTTTTTTTCCTTTCTCTGCTCATCACTTTCTCTCCTCCCATCTCTAAACACACAAAGCACTATGTTGACTAATGAATTTTCTTGACACTTATGCTAAGAAATGAAATATAAATTGTGTTGGAGCATTATCTTCCAATTCTACAGTGTATGTAAGTGCTTTAGTAGCAGAATCAGGATCAATGGTATGGTCAAAATATATTCTTTCACCACCAGAGGGCACACTTAACTAGCATAAGAATAGTTAAGTGCTTGTCCACCTCAGGTCTTTCTTGCACTCAGAATGGTATTCTTAAAAACTTAGAAATTGAAATATGATATAATGTAACTCTTACAAGTGACTTGTTAAGAAAGAGATAGTTAAGTTGGTTCAGAAGGTTAAATCTTCCAATGGAAAATTTTTAATACTCGTATTAACTCTACATGCTACAGATAAGTGTATAACTGGGAATATACCTCTAGAGGTGGAATCATTTTGAAGTTTGCAGGTGTTAAACCGAACCACTGGTGAAATTCTAGATGACAATATTTGTACAGTCATCACAAGAATATATAGAGCTTTTTACTGAGACAAGTACGTAGTTCTTACCTCATCTAAATAATCTACAATTCCCCCTGAACATAATGCCTTCAAGTTTCATTGAAAAGTGCACGGAGGTTGAACTTATGTATATTATTTAATAAAATATGTATCCCTTCATTGCTATAGTTAGTTTTCATTCTGATTAATAATACTAAGCTTTATCTCTGTTTAAAGGAAGAGTATCCTTATCAGACTATCAGAGCTCCTAAATCTTTGATGTGTTTATCCTCACAACTCTCCTGGGAAGTAGTGAAGTACTGAAGCACAGAGAATTAATGAGTTGTAGGTCACACGGGTGGTCTGTGGCAGACCAGGTAATTAAACCCAGATCATAGAATCATAGTGCTAAAAGAAATCTCAGGAGGTCATCAAGTCCAGCCCCCTACCCAAAGCAGGACCAATCCCAATTAAATCAACCCAGACAGGGCTTTGTCAAGCCGAGAGTTAAAAAACTCTAGGGACTGAGATTCCACCACCTCCCTAGGTATCCTATTCCAGTGCTTTACCACCCTACTAGTGAAATAGTTTTTCCTAATATCTAACCTAGATCTCTCCCACTGTAACGTGAGACCATTACTCCTTGTTCTGCCATCTGTCACTACTGTGAACAGCCTTTCTCCATTCTCTTTGGAACATCCCTTCAAGAAGCTGAAATCCCCCCTCACTCTTTTCTTCTGCAGACTAAACAAACCCAAATCCCTCAGTCTCTCCTCATAGGTCTTGAGCTCTAGCACCCTAATCATTTGGTCGCCCTCTGCTAGACCCTTTCCAATGTGTCCACATCCTTTCTATAGTGGTGGGCCCAGAACTGGACACAACACTACAGATGTGTCTTCACCAAACCAGAATAAAGGGGAATAATCACTTCTCTGGATAAGAACATAAGAACGGCCGTACTGGGTCAGACCAAAGGTCCATCCAGTTCAGTAGCCTGTCTGCCAACAGTGGCCAACACCAGGTGCCCCAGAGAGGGTGGACCGAAGACAATGATCAAGCAATTTATCTCCTGCCATCCTTCTCCAGCCTGACTGGATCTGCTGGCAGTGCTTCTCCTAATGCAACCTAATATGGCATTAGCCTTTTTGGCTACAAGGGCACACTGTTGACTCATATCCAGCTTCTCATTCACTATAATCCCCAGGTCCTTTTCTGCAGAACTGCTTACTTAGCCATTCAGTTCCTAGCCTGTAACAATGCTTCGAATTCTTCCGTCCCAAGTGCAGGACTCTACATTTGTCCTTGTTGAACTTCATCAGATTTCTTTTGGTCTAATCCTCTAATCTGTCTAGGTCATTCTGGACCCTATCTGTGCCCTCCAGCATATCTACCTCTCCCCCTAGTGTCATCTGCACACTTGCTGAGGGTGCAATCCATCTCCTCATCCAGGTCATTAATAAAGATGTTTAACAAAACGTCCCTAGAACAGATCCTTGGGGCACTTCACTAGAAACCGACCGCCAACCTGACATCAAGCCATTGATCACTCCCATTGGGCCTGACAGTCTAGCCAGCTTTCTGTCCATCCTACAGTTCATTTATCCAATCCATACTCCCTTAACTTGCAGGCAAGAATATTGTGGGAGACTGTGTCGAAAGCTTGCAAGTCCCAGGCTAGTATCTTACCTACAGAACCATTCTCTCACTGTATGAGTTCACTGCGTGCTGGGGAATCTGCTATGTCTCACTGAGTTGTTGATGGTTATTCAGAATTTGAGAGCCTGATACTTGGCTTTTGGATCATGTTTTCATATTGTATATTATTATTGGGTCTGCTTGCTGAAAAAGTCAGTGCAATTCAAGTTAAAAAAACACAGCTCTGAAACTCTCAAAGGTAGTCCAACATTGCTACAGAAATTCATTTTTATAATACATTACATCTCAAATATTAACCTTTTAAAAAGTATTTCTTATTGTATTATCTGCTGTCATGATTATGAGGGTTAGCCAGCAGCCTGAGAACTAAGAGGTTAACCTTACCTAAGTCAGGTAGGTTCAGCCAATAGGAATGTAGGGAGGAATTTCAAACCGGGACAGAGGAATTTTTGTTTTTTCCCTCCTTTGTCCTGGGCAGTTTTCTCTCCATCTACTGAGGGGGACAGACAGAATGTCTCCCTCCAAGAATAGACTCTTCACTCTTCTGTAAGTAGGGTAAAGTTTAGATAAATCTGTTAGGTTTGATTGTTTTATGGGTTGGGAAATGGAATCTGATGTCTGTGCATTTAAAAATGCTTTTGCTCTATTTTGTAACTAAGCTCCTGGCCCATGGTGGGTTTCTCCTCCATGGCTACGTCTAGATTGGCATGATTTTCCACAAATGCTTTTAACAGAAAAGTTTTCCGTTAAAAGCATTTGCGGAAAAGAGCATCTAGATTTGCACAGACGCTTTTCTGCAAAAGCACTTTTTGCGGAAAAGCATCCGTGCCAATCTAAACGCGCTTTTGCGCAAAAAATCCCCGATCGCCATTTTCGCGATCGGGGCTGTTTTGTGCAAAACAAATCTGAGCTGTCTACACTGGCCCTTTCGTGCAAAAGCTTTTGCGCAAAAGGACTTTTGCCTGAATGGGAGCAGCATAGTATTTCCACAAGAAGCACTGATTTTTTACATGAGATCGTCAGTCTTCTTGCGGAAATTCAAGTGGCCAGTGTAGACAGGTGGCAAGTTTTTCCGCAAAAGCAGTTGCTTTTTTGGAAAAACTTGCCAGTCTAGACACAGCCCATGAGTATATTACTTTGTAACTTTTCCATCTAGTCATTATGCTTGCAACAGGAATATTGTGGTGATGATAAAAGTTCTTTCTCTTTTCTTTTCTTAACCTGGCATTGGTTAATTTTTGAGTCCTGAATTGTACTTTAGGGGTGAGATTCCCTAAGTGATCTCTCCCCTGATTTTCTTATCAGTACTTGGGTTGTGGCAGTGGAGTTTTATCCCCAAAATCTAGGTTGTTAAGATTTTGGGAGGAAGTTTTTTATCAAAGCCTGGAAAGGTAAGGTTTTGGTGTACTTTTGCTGGCCCCCACATCAGCATTTATCATGCCAAAGTGGGGAAGGAGCCATGACACCTGCACCCTGCTGCTATTTACCATTATTATGAGCATGGGAACACCTTTAATCTGTCATGTGTTTAATTCTGGATTGTTTAATTCTGGATATATTTCAAGAGACTAATTGCAGTTTCTGATGTTACTAAATGGTCTGGGATTCAGAGATTTGAGAAACTGCTTCTCTCCCTATATGCTGAGATGGAAATTGAGATCAGCAGAGACAGTTTTGCTGTCAGTTCCTAGATAGATCCTTCTAGGAATGGTGAAAGTGTACCTTTCTTGAATGGAGACAGTCTGTCTGTGGAATTGTTTTCCTGGCTCATTTTGCCAGAGCGGGGTTCAACAGATTTCAAAGTGTGATGTAAAACATTTGTGCTTAGCCAGGCTTTTAGATATATGTATTACCTGTCATTGGGGAGGAGTTATTGGCAGGGCCACTGAGTCTTAGTGGATGTTCTTGCCATTTGTAAGGAAAGAATGTGGGGCAACCAGAAATTTGTTAAAAATGCCATGAAAATGATTAGATAGGTAAATAATATTAACCTGCCAGTTTAAAAACAAAACCTTTGTCCTTGGGAACTGAATTTCATATATCGGTATCGAGTGAATTATCTGCAGTTGTTGTTCTAAGTACTTATATGGCCCTCTTTATTGTCATGTTTCTCGGCATGGCACAAGCATTTAATTTTTGTCCTCTAAATACTCTTGTCAGCGAGGAAAACATCCTTCAGTGGCAGATGTGGAACAGACAGATTGAGAGATTTAAGCCCAGATATTTAAAAATGTTTTAAAGGTATTTTTAATGGTTTTACAGTACTTGACAGATCTAAGAACCTAAGTCTTACCGACTTTTATAAGTGTCTAAGTCAATTTTCAAATGAAGACCCAGGCTTGTAAAAGCAAATCTACACTTAAAATGCTGCCTCAGCGCAGCTGTATCACAGTAGCACTTTAATGAAGACACTTGGTAAGTCAATGGGAAAAAGCTCTCCCAGCATTTTAGTTATTCCCACCTCCTGGAATCACCATAGCTATGTTGGCTGGAGAAGCTCTTCCGTCAACATAGCACCATCTACACTGGGGAGTAAGATCAGTGGTTCATTCACTTGATTACGGATATATGAAATTCAGTTTCCAAGGACACAGGTTTTGTTTTTAAACTGGTAGGTTGATATTATTTACCTTTCTAATCATTTTCATGGCACAACGTCACTTAGGAGTGTAATGATGTCGCTCACACGCCTGAGCAACACAGTTACACAGATATAGGTCAGTAGTGTAGACTAGAGTTATGTTAGATGGGATGGCAGAACAGAGTTAAGCAATGCCTAAGGACCTTGAAAAATCTGGATCTGAGTGACCTGTCCGAGATGAGACACAGTCTATGGAAGAGTCAGCTACTGAACCCTGATTTTGTGAGTCCGAGGCCATAACACTTTGCTCTCAAATAATTGTTATTTATTGATGACATTAACTTTATTTTCTCATGTAATAGCTCATATTAACTGATATCAGACAAACTCATGGGGGGGGGGCAATTATTTTTATTTATTTATTTTTTACTTTTACAGCATGGCAGACGGACAAAATACAACTTTTGGAAGGATGTGATTGCTGCTGTACAACATAACTATAAAACCTCAGCTTTTAAAGGTAGGTGACTTCGTTCAAGACATGCTTACTACAATAGCTGAAAATATTTGGAGGCATGGCAAAATTCAGTTTTGTTAACTTCACCAGATAATAACAATATTTAGTTTTTAAATAATGTTTTAAAATTTTGATCCATCTAAACTTTTATAGTTGCACAAAAATATGGGTTTCAAATATTTTTTATTTTTAGCTATTTAAATTTTAATAGTTACAGGATATTATAGGGAATCAGACAATAATTATTTAATGGAAGTAGTTATTGAGGTTCAAAAATTAAAATTTTATAACAATCAAATCACAGATTGTCAACATCACTTGTAAAAAATACTAAGTACAAATTTTAAAATCCGTCTCTTATTTGACTGACTTTGCAAGTCCTTAAAAGTTGATTTTCGTTGATGGAAATATTTTTTATAAGTTTGTCTTTCTATTGGGAAAACAAAAACATTTACAAATAAAAATCTAACCTGTCCATGTCTACTTATAGATTTATTGAAGCAGAAACTGCTACATTTGCTTTGTTACTCAAATTGATCCTCATTAGAAATAAAAATGTGTTCTATGCATGTTTACAATGAAATGGTTACTCTGGACAGACTCCACCTTTTTTCAGCTTAAGCATTAGGAGTGATTTTGTACATTTGTGGGGTGCTATTTTAAGGAATTACCATGACTTAAAAGAAGAATACTGTAATTTATGTATGGACACTGTATACAAATATGTTCCTGCGTTAACTGTGATTTTCAACAAGACCAAAACATATTTGCAAAATATTAAGGGAGTATTCAGCAAATCATTTACTTTGTTGATGAACACTGAACATTCCTATCCCTCTAATTTTGCCTGGATCCACTGATATGATGATGCTGTTTCGCCGAAAGATTAATCTATTACAACTTTGTTTTAATAAGGGTTAAGAAGATGTTTTAATTTCAAATGCTATAACACTATGGTTCATATTTACTGGAACTGAAATAAATAGGACAATGTAGACAGTTTGATCTGTGAATGAGGTAGATAAAGTTTTTATGCTGACTTTCTATTAAAGTGAGAAATGCCGGGACTCTATGCCAGCCTCTGATGGCTATAGCAAATGCAAATGCTGCCTGTGAGAGATGCATGTCTCACAAAAATGCATTCATTGTCACAGCCTGACAGAAAGAGCTCACAAGGATAGGGAGCTCAGAATACACACTTGCTGTTCTTTGACAAAGCCCTACACCCCCACCCGCATAACAGGGGCAATAAAGGCTCAAGTGTGATGTCCCCTCAGAGGAACCTCTCAAGCCTTTCACTGCAAAAAGCGCAATCAAAAACAAAGCCCTCACCAGCCTGCTCCTCCATCATGAATAAGCAAGAGAGATGAACCAGGCACCTAGAGCATTCAAAAAGCATGAGCCACCTCACTAACAGGCTCAAGAACGCACGCTAAACAGCCTGCAAAGCGCCTGATAAGGGCTGTGAATCAACAAAGGCACTGCTGGCATTGGCGCACGCCCTGCAAGCCCCCGGTGTGGCTTTCGCCTCTTACACTGAGAAAGGTTCAGGCAAACTCCCACCCCCTCAACGGTGTAGACTGACCCCAGATTTCCCGGGGTTCCAACAGCACCAATGCCTCCACTGCCAGCACTGTCAGACTCGGCCCGAGGCATAAAGCATTAAGCCATTGTCGTTCCCCAACGTGGCAAAACACGTTTTCCATCAGTAATTGATAGGAACCAAGAACCAGGTCCCCGAGCGAGTCCTCAGCTTGGCATTGCTTGCGCTGCCCCCTGTAAATGTGAGGCTCTTTGCCCTCGCCACACTCACCTACATTATTGCAAATTAGTGCCTGCCAAGGGGAGACAAGGAGTGTGTACTCCTATAGCTCATTGGGGTGCACTCTGGGGAATGAGGAGTGTCCCCCTCTGGGTCAGTGGGTGGCCAGTCCAACCCACTACATGCAGTTCAAGTCTGATCCAACCCATTAATGAGCCCGCCCTAACACAAGGTAGGCTGCCCAGGTAGACAGTCAATAAACAGTTAGTAGCCCGGCCCTAATGCAGGACAAGGGCAGCAGTAATTAAACAGTTAGGAAGCCCATCCAAACGCAGGGGAGGCTGCAGCACTTAATCAGTCAAATAAATAGTTAGGGTATGTCTACACTACAAAGTTAATTTGAACGAACGGACGTTAGTTCGAATTAACTTTGATAGGCGCTACACTAGCGCTCCGCTAGTTCGAACTTAATTCGAACTAGTGGAGCGCTTAGTTCGAACTAGGTAAACCTCATTGTACAAGGACTAAGCCTAGTTCGAACTTACTAGTTCGAATTAAGGGGTGTGTAGCCCCTTAATTCGAACTAGTGGGAGGCTAGCCCTCCCCAGCTTTCCCTGGTGGCCACTCTGGCCAACACCAGGGAAACTCTATTGCCCCCCTCCCGGCCCCGGACCTCTTAAAGGGGCACGGGCTGGCTACGGTGCCCATGCCAGGTGCAAGCCTGCCAGAACCCAGCCAGCAGACCCTGCACCTGACACGGCTCAAGCCAGCCACCCGATGCCCCCCAGCCCTCCCCCTCTTCCTGGGACCAGGCTGGCAGGTCCCCGGAGCCTGCCCCGGAC